GTCTTGCTGAATCTTTTATCCTCTGTCTGGAGGCTGACTCTTCAAGTATATCTGCCCTTTGCTATGTGGGTCAGCCTGCAATATAGCTTTAACATGGTCACATAGAACAGTTGGTGTTCATCCCAACTTTTCTAAATGTCGAGGTATCACTGCCTTGGAGCCATCCTTGCTTCTTCCTGAAAAGAATAACACTCCTCATATTCTTAAAAAAATTACTGTAGAGTGTGCTCTGCTTTACTATTTTCTACTTAGTAACTCTCTGCAAGGGTCTGAATGCCTCGATTGCAATGTTTCAGTTATTGTAATTCTCCTGGAAATTATATTCAGATGGTACTTGCAGAATCTCCAGGGGGTAGTTATGTTAAAGAATGGTAAGATTCACTGTAGAATACCATGGTCATCATCACCCAGTCCCTCCTAGTGACACTCCTCATGATCCATGGTCTGAAGCCCTTTCACCCTATCCCTCAGAATACAGTTTCCCCTTTAGGAAGGAGGTTACTTAAAACAAACTTGGTTTCACCATTGACATTCCTTATGACACTTTATTTTTATAAAATACAAATAAAAAGTAATCTCTTCATGTTGATTTTTAAGACTATCTTATTTACCTTTGAAGAGCAAGGAATTGTTTTATAATAGAAAAAAAAATAGGTGTGATGGCCAGATCAAATCTCCTGCACTGTCATCTGAAAGATTCTTAATGAACTTCCTGAGTCACATTTGTCCAATTAATAAAAATCAGTAGCATGACCTTAACAGTAGTGCCTCATGTTTGTTGCATGCTTAGTACGTGCCAGGTACCATTCTAGAACCATCTGAGTTGCTTTATATATTCCACCATTTAATTCTAGCAAGAACTTTGCCTAGCAGACATTGTTGTCCCCATTTTACAGGTAGACATCTGAAGACCAGAGACGTTAAAAGCAACAGGTCCAAGGTCACCTTCCTAATAAGTGGTAGAACTCACAGTCTAACCCAGGGGTGGTTTATTTCACTTCTCTGCCATACTGCAGCCTTGTAAATTACAAACAACTCTATTAAAAATGTCAGCTTGTGTGGTTTCTATGAAGATTAGAAATAATGTATGTGCAACGTCTACCACAAAAGCTCTTCCCCCAAGTTCCCTAAACAAATGTCAACCATTTTATTTTTAAATCTCCATAAATGAGACTGAGAGGTCAAGATCATTATAATTGTGGAGGGGAAGGGGCAGGAGACACACTCCTTCATGGTTCATGTGCCTGCTTGGTTTTCTACTTTTCTAATAGACTAAAGTTCTCTTTGGAAGACCTTACCACACTGTTGTTTCTCTGATGACTGGAGTAGGAAGAGTTAGGAATGTGGAATGGAACGGCTAATGCACCATGACAGTATTTGCCAATGACAGCAAAGAATTTAATCTTTCAAGGGAAGAAGTTTTTGTTTTACCTCTATCAGTTCAAGGTTTAGTGTTCTCTAGAGAGCTTTGTTAAGTTCACCGTTTCTGTATACATACAATTTTGTTTTAAATCCAGGATCATAAGAGGAAAGACAATGGTGCTACCATTTAATATGAAGTACACTGTGCAGTTAGTGTTCCATGAGGCTTTTACTGAACAAATAGTTCAGCAAAAGAGCTATGCCCAGTGAGCTTTAGCCAACATAGCCCATTTCCAGTTGGGCAACAACATTTCACGCTTCTTCAGTTACTCTTGTAGGAAGAGTCTGAAGGCCAGTTGTCACCTTGAACTGAGCCACCTTGCTGGAAGAGAAGTTTGGGGTTTTCTCACTTTTCATCATGGGGTCGTTTCAACATGTCGAATTAGAGTTGAGATTTTCATTTAATTTCAAATTGGACTGATTTTCTGATATTAGATATTGAAAACAATGCCAATTGTTTGGTAATCTGTGTATAAACCCAGCAGAATAATAATGAGAACCAGATAGATCTGAGCTTTTCTTACTGAATTTAATATCACTATTAAAAACTTTATTGAAAGCTCTGCTTTGAAGTCTTTTGTTTGAGAAATTGGCAAAATCATTGAGTTAAGTAGGAAATAATAAAGCAGCTCACTGGTTATCCTGGTTATTAAAAATTAAAAGATTAAAGATAGGCCAAAGTATGAACATTATAATCTCTGTGTTTACTTAAATATCATTTTTATCTCTGCCACCAACTTGAAAGAAAGTACCCATCAAATAATGGAAAATAAAGAACAGTAGATAGTGATGTACTTATAGCAAGTTGCTCATCTTGAGCAAGTTGCTTTGACAATTCCACTGTGGAGTTTTCTGAAGTTTAAAATAGACATTCGAATAAGTAAATTCATTGGTTCTGTTTACTTTCAAAAAAATTATAGTTCTATGCAATATTTATCTTTATAAATAAAAATAGAGCTTACCTTAGAAATAAATGTTTGGGTACAAAGATGAAATCTATGAAGGCAAAAGCAATAACATTACCTGACCTGTAAATTATTATTAAAGAAATCAGTTATGCACAAAGTGCACATTAAGAAATGATAAACAAAGGTCCATTTCCTCTATAACAACCTTAATCCATGTGATCTAAAAAGTCTTCAGCTGGCTGCGATGCCAGAAAACCAGAAACTGCTTCATGCAGTGTATGCTAACCTTTTTCACCACTTAGCTATTCTTTCCACTCAGGCAGTATTTATGAATTTGGGGTAAGTGCTCTTACCCTTAGATATTTGAGCTTGATCATAATTTATAGTCAAAGTAGACTCTTTTTAAATGACTAAAATTAATGACACATCTTCCTTCCTTCGTTCCTTCCTTCCTTCCATCCATTCATCCATTCATCCATCCCCAAAATGTCAAGCAATTCTACCAAAATTGGAAAAGTTAGTTGGACCTTTTTTAGGTGTCAACAAAAAATGTTCGCCTAATAATACTGATGTTTAAGGAAAATGTAGTATAATGTTTCATTAAGGTTAAGCTGTATGTTAAAAGAATTTTTTTCTATCGTTTTAAAATATAAGGTAACTTTTAATAGTATAAGAGTTTATTTTCAGTTTTGTAGTAAATATATAATGATTTCTGAAATTTTGGGAATCCTGTGTGGTGCATTTAGCTTGTGTCAGACCTCGTTGGCCAAATGTGTGTCGGGATAATAGCAGGTTGATAGTCATAGTGAGATTCTGCTCATTCTGGCTTTAGAGTGAGATGATTTAATTTTCAGTTCACCCTTTTCCTAGAAGGCGATATTTCTTTCATCTTTGAGCCTTCTCTCAGGACCTCTAAATACATGTAGTCATACTTCCCAAACTGCTGTTAGTCAGTCATGTTTTTCTCCAGAAAATACTGGGACTGACTTGACAGAACTTAGGTTGTGGATTTGTTTTTTGGATTCCTGCCCTACATTTTAGTCTTTGTTTCTTAAAGACACTTGAAAAATGTTTTTCCCCTTATTGTGATCACTGTGGAAATAAAAGAGAGTTGCTATTTTTACATTTAGAATGGGAAGAAAATTTTAAAATAAAATCTTATGAAATACGGTGCTCAAATCCCTCTATGATTTAGGGGGGAAAAAATCCTTGTTTTCTAAAGGCTGAGTGGCTCTCTCCGGTTTTTATTTTTGTTTTGTTTAATCTCTAGGACCTCCCAATTTTCAAGGACACTGTGGGGCCTGTAGCATTTATTTGATGTATGGTTGTATGTGCATATTTTCCCACATCTGTCTCTATGGTCCTACCCTTTGTGAAACTCTAAACCCTGTATTAATGCTTAGTTTGTGATTCATGGCGTTCTGAGATCAATTATATATTTTTTCTTTGGGTGTTTATTCGGTGTGTACTGTAAAAAAGACATGGGAATTATTTTTTTGGTAACCCTGCAGTTGCCTTTTTATGGGTGAATTCCTTTTTTCTTTCGCTGTGACCTGCCACTGTCACTGTAGGCTCAGTGCCAATTTTGTGAGCCACTGTCTGCCTCAAAATGGAGGCAGGAAGGTATCCATTTTCATCAGGAGGATGACAGGGTTTCAGTCTTTCCGACCATCTGGAGAGAGAAACTTTGAGAGTGAAAGAAAATGGGGATTAAAAATAAATAAGTAAACACACACAGAGAGAAAGAGGACGGGGGAGAGGAGAGAGAGAGAGAGAGAGAGAGAGAGAGAGAGAGAGAGAGAGAGCAAAGAAAGGCAAGGAAAACCAGTTGATAGTTAAACTATACCTTATGAATTAACGCTCTTCTAATATGGTGTCCTGTTTGAAAGAAACATAAACAAGAAAATACACACAGGCTATTTTTATCAAAACTAGTTCCCCACGTCTCCTGAGTATTAGTAAACGAATGGAAGTAAATGAGATTTTTGGCTCACTTTTAAAGTTTATGGTACACACAAATACAATAAGCACTAAGGAAGAGGCCCCCTTCTTCCTGTGTACACTCAGATTGTTGGTGGTCTTGTCTAGATCCAGGCTTTAAAAAAAAAAAATAGCCTTTTTCATGCATCTCTGCAAAAAAGCTGACACTATGGGAATTTAATAGTCCAAGATAGATTTATCGCTTTCTGTGGTCCGGATGCTTCATTTGTGTTTCCCCCCCTCCCTGTCCTCATTCCCCTCCCCCAGTGAAATTTTTAATTGAAAGTTGTGCTCTGTCTTTTCAGAGAAGCTGGATTGGGTGCACATCTTTCTGCTTTTACCTTTCATGTGCTCATGGGCCATCTGTGTTTAAAAAGCAGAGATGCTTAGACTCAGGACTACCCCAGGGGTCTTACATAGTATGTTTACAGCTCCACATGGTTGACACTATTGTGGTCTGTGACTGGAAAATCTCATACCTGGTTATTTTCTGTTCACACAAATTTACTGAACATTCCCCGGCCCCCGCCTCCTATATTTGAAAGGGGCAGCTTTTCTGGGGGTTTTGATCGGTCTTAGACTGGATAAGGTCAGAAATGAACATTTTGAGCCTGCTTCTTATCAAACAGTGGATGTGGAGGTGCTTTGGTCAATGCAGAAAGCAACATTCATTTGGTTCTCCTTCCTCAGGTCTATGCTCCATCAGCAAGCACTGCCGACTACAATAGGGACTCGCCAGGCTACCCTTCCTCAAAGCCAGCAGCCAGCACTTTCCCTAGCTCCTTCTTCATGCAAGGTAAGGCGCTTCTGCATCCCGGGGGAATCCACAGGGTTTTCAGATGTAGTGAATGGGACTATACAGAACACAGGCAAGTGGGGAGACAAATGGAACTTCTTAGGACTGAATTACTTCAAAGTGAATTAATTAACCAAAACTTATTTATAAGACTTTTTTTTTTTTTTTTGAGTCTGTAACTTCTTGAGCACTAATGAGTGGAGGTAAAGTGAGTCTGCCTCACTCAGCGCTGAGGCTGACGTTGGAATTACAAGATGGACCATTTCAGCATTTTCACCATCCCCACGCCGGTTGTGTAGTTGAAAGTGTTTCAGCTTAGTCTCTGTTTTGAGCATCCTGGATTTAGTCGGGATTAAAACCACCTTTTAATTCCATTTAAAGGTGATGTGAACACTTAAGGTGAAACTCAATCCCAACATGCTAACTCATTTTGGATGAAAGGCCCAACTTTTGAGGGGCCAGACAACAAAGTGTCCCCCAGAGTATATTTATTGCCCCTGTAGAACGGCTCCTTTCTGCTGCCTTGGAAAGACTAAGGTGGTTAAAATGACAGCAGCTACTCTAAGAATGGACGGTTCAGAGGATGCAGCTCAGGGCTCCATCCCTGATTTTGCCCATGATACTTATTTTCAAAATGTAATGATCTTGTTGCCAACTTACCCTGAATTTAGATATAGAGTTTACCAAGCAGCCCTGTATGCAGAAACTTAACTTTTTTGCCTGGGTAGGAGCACTGTATTTAGTGTGTGTCTTGCTAAAGTGCCACGGGACTTCCCTCTTTATGCTACTCCAAGAAGTGCCAAGTCACAGGAAGAGAACGAGAATGTAGTTGGAGCAGAATGTTCCAGGGGAACAGCATGATATCTCACACAGATAACAGTGAGCACTCTCAAAATCTTCCTGATGAAAGGGGACTTACCTTCTTTCCCTTCAGAGTGTTCGCTTTCTTAGATGGCTAGTTCACATGTGAGATTCCATGGGAAATCTATAAAATTGAACGAAATGGGTCTCTTGGGAATAGAGAGAATTTGCTCCACACAGTAATGGATTCTCATGTTCATGAGGATCCTTGATCTTCACGATCCATCCTAGTTGAAACTCTCAAAGAGGCACAGCAGGTTGGTCATGACAAAGGGCTTACCACTTTTAGCTACAAACAGCAGCTGCCTCTGATCAGCTCCCCTCTCTGTAAGCGTGGGAGAAATTGAGCTACAGGTGCGCACAGGTGTCAACTCAGGGATTCATCACTCCAAGTAGATTTTCATTGAGGAAAGTGACAGATTTCTTTGATCTGCCTGAAAAGTGTCTTGCTTGAACTATGCATGTTGTAGGGGAGTCCAGGTAGATCGAAACAGGAGGTGCCTTTTCGTAGCAGTAGCAACCCACACAAAATGTGGGGAACAAATTTGTTCTTCTGCATATGAACACCCACCCCCCAAAAAAAAAACAACAAAAAACTGAGTTGACATTTATGATGAGCACAATTAATTTGCACGCATCTAATTCTATTCTTCAAAACAACATTATGCCAAGATCATGGGATGTGATAAATATTAATTTACTGTGAAAAGCATAATTTATGTAAAATGTGTATTTATATAAGTCTGCACTGAGTAGAACATTCTGCGTTAACAATCCTGAATGTACTGCCCCCCCATGCATCACACTGTCAGAATGTTTCAAAAGGCTCTTATTCAATGACATATATTCTCAATTTATTTGTCAAATGTGCCTTCTATTTAAAATGTTAGTGGTCTTCAACTTCATATTTGAATTTAGGGTGACATTTAAACTTCTGTAATCTGAGGACTCCATCTAAAGCACATTGAATGATAACTTCTTAAAATCCCTGTGTTTTATATGACAAATCAGGAACGGTGGCATCATGATCCTGTCTCACACCAGCTTCCTTCAATAGAGGGATGCAATGGTACCCTGAGAATTTAGTGGTTAAAATTATGCAATTAAGGCAAAAGATATTCGGAGATTGTCTAAGGCATGTTTTAAACTTAGTACTGTGGCCTCTTTATTTTTAACTTTAATTTCCATCTCCTCATTAAAACTCTAAAAGTTGTCAAAATCACAGACAGGATTTTGCTTCTTGGTTCTTGAAGAAAGAAATCTACCATCTCTTCCTGTCTGTTCTGAAACTTGTCCCGTCCTGAGATTCAAACTTCTGGGTTTAAACACTCAGTGAAAATCAGCTTCATGAAATACATTATCAGACTTAACTTGCCTATTACCTAAATTTTTAAAAGGCTTTGTTAAATAAAATGTTATGGGGAAATAACCATATTTCTGAGAACCAATTCCTGCTATCCATTTAGTACCCAGCTGATTTCCTGGTCTATATCCAGCACTTAATAATTTTTGTTTAACTATTGAAAGAATAGAAACCATGTGTAAGGTCAGGGAATGGAAAGGATCTGTAGGACTGTTCTTAATCTGATGCTCACAAAAGATTAATTTCATTGTAAAAGATATTCACATAGTTGCCATATAGTTTGAAACCTTTTTTTGTTAATTTTTTTATTTATATATAACAGCGGAATGCATTACAATTCTTATTACACATATGGAGCACAGTTTTTCATATCTCTGGTTGTATGCAAAGTATATTCACACCAATTCGTGTGTTCATACATGTACTTTGGATAATGATGACCATCACATTCCACCATCATTTCTAACCCCATACCCCCTCCCTTCCCCTCCCACCCCTCTGCCCTATCTAGAGTTCATCTATTCTTCCCAGCTCCCTCTCCCAACCGCCGAATGATAAGCACAATTAATTTGCACACATCTAATTCTCTTCTACATTTGGCATTTAGTTGAAACCTCTTCTTAACTTATAATTTTGTAAAATCCAGGGGTTCTCAAAATTCTCTATAGCATCGTATCTACCTCATGATATGATTGTAGTCTTTGAATTGCTACTAAAGGTTGAAGACAGCTGTATACCTCTATACCAATAAAAACAACCATAACCTAGAGTCCTCTTCCCTACATATCATAATATAATTATAATATCAATTCTATTATGAATGTTACAAAAAATAAAATCAAACCTTTTCAATCAGATGCTTTTTTTTTTTTTTTTACTTATTTCATTGTAGGCTTTTAAAACTTGTGAACGTGCCATCTCTATAATGTCTCAAGTATTTTATTTTTACCTCAAAGTTCAGGAACAATTTAATTTTGTAGTTGATTTTTATTTTAAAAAAAAAAGTTGGGGGCATTGGTCAGAGATTTGTAAGAAATGTTTCTCCAGCATTCATTACCTTGCTGACTTAACGTAATGCTCTTACTAAGAGCACTAACTTTGTGAAATGTTTCTGTTTGTTTGATAATGCAGAGCCTCTCGGGGGGGAAAATAATGATGACTGTCTTCTGATGTAATTAGCTAACCAACACCAAGATGAATACACAACAGGCGGTCATTTTCAAGTATATGAAAAACCCCTATTCTATAAGGCAAGGCTGAATACCTCAGAAAAGTCATGGTTTCCTTTGTTCTTTACAGATGGCCATCACAGCAGTGACCCTTGGAGCTCCTCCAGTGGGATGAGTCAGCCTGGCTACGGAGGCATGTTGGGCAATTCTTCTCATATTCCACAGTCTAGCAGCTACTGCAGCCTGCATCCACATGAGCGTTTGGTAAGGTGGACTTTTGCAGGGATGGGGGGAACAGGGCTCCTGTGCGAAACCTCAGCTCTGTCTTCTCATGGGTGTGCACAGGACTCTGCAAATAAATGCAGTCGCAGCACATTCCCATTATTCTTACTGTTGTATGTTTTTCTGATGGAGACCTGACAGTCAGGTTACCTTTGGAAGCCCTCTAGATCCTCTTTGTCATTGTCCTCTTGTTTATTGTATTTCAATCTGTGCTTTCCTTATCATAGCCTCAGTTTCTTTTGGTAAGGACACACAATCTATTCAAGTGACAGGATTTCAGCTGTGGTTCCTTTTCCTGTTTTGGTTCTCTGAGCTTTTCTAAGATATTCATCAGAGGACAGGGCCACTCAGTGACTTTGGAGTAGCTTGTATGCATCACATATGGGCATTTCCATGTCAACTTTGACCTGCCATGGAGCATGCAAAGGAAAGACTTTGTATTTTCCAGGTCCTCTCATAAGTAACAGGAAAACGGGGTTCCACATAGGACAGATTCCATTTTTCTACATTTCTGGTTCCCCCCCGCCCCATATACCTCAGTCTGCCATGGATATTGCTCTGCTGTACTCCAGGTGGAAAGTGCTGGGCTATAAGATGTTAAGTCTATCATTACTGAAAGTTTCCACTCTGTCCATGGTCTGTACTCTCATCCCTCCTAAAAAGAAATCTATTTATCCTAAGGAAGCAACTCAAATGACTGTTTATAGGCTGAAAAATTACCACAGTCCAGAATCCACTTAGGAATTTAAGTCTGCCATTAAGTGAAACAGAAGAGTCTTGGTTATGAATTAGTTTGGAGGTGCCAATCAGATGGGGCTCAAGTCCCTTGTGCAGTGATTTAGTGTTATAAAAAATGTCTGGACCTCAAATCTACCAATGCAAAAGGACATGGCCAGTCCTGGTGCAAGTGGTACTTGCATCACTTCTCTTTCTGTCCCAGTTTGCGCATTCTGTTCTCCTCATGTCCACATTTATGATTTTTCCTCTGATTTTTGAGGTCTTTCCTCTTGTGTTTAACTGCTTCACAGAGTGAAAAGGGGCCTTACATTCTACTCTCACAACCATAAAGACTCTAAAAGTTTATACTTCTGATATCCTTGGATGTGCATATTTAATTAGTCCTAGGGATGGAGGCATCACATGGTCGATTAGCCTATGCATTCCTGAGGGGCCAATGGTAGAGAAGGAATTGGCCTTTTTGTCTCATCTCCCAAGTTCAAGTGTGTAAATCACAAACTATCTCACATTTTAGCCCATTTTCAGAAAAGAGCAGATGATTGGCTTTCAAATTTCCTCTTCTCCCACCTCCTACATAGAGGTATTGGAGTGAAAACTTATAGAAATATCAACTATTATTATACTAGAATTTCTTTTGGCTCTCCTTTTTACTTCTCCACTATCATTTTCCACTTCTCTAGGAACCCATGAGCAAACCTAGCAAAGTTTTAATTACACATAGAAGTTGGGAGCCCTCTCTTCGTATGTTGGAATTTCCATCTTCTGAAAAAGCCGTCTATTTGATGTTTGTTTTCCTTCTTTCCTGTCATTTTTTTTTTCTTTCATTTCCTATCATGCTCTAGAGTTTTTGCAGTAGGTGATTTCATTTTAAAACCCAATTGACTCCATGGCTTGGGGAGGGGTATCTTTAAAATACGCTCACATGCACCAAAAGTGTAATTTCAAAATAGAAACCAACTACGAAAACGTTTTAGTGACCCCAAACAATATTACCCACCAGGAAGAAAGATCATTTTGAAGAAACAACCCTAAAGACTGCATGAGAAGTCAAATTTGCAATGTCACTTGTCCATCACAGAGCACAAGGTTTTCCTTCTTAACCTGATCAGTTAGCAGGTTTCAGAGAGTAAGGTTTTGTCTTAAAGAGTAAATGAATAAAGTTTATGGGAAGATATTTTACTGAGTTTCCCCACTGAGAGTGGAGCTGTTGAATTACATACTAGTTGTCATTGTAATTTCAGTATTTAACCATATGAAAATCTCTTGGTGAAGTGACTTAAAGAATCTGATGCTGACTGAGAATAATTTGAATATGCCGTGGCAGTCAGTGTCTTTTCACTTGAAAATAGAAATAGTTCCTTATGATTTTAGTCTGTAGCATTTGCCTAGTCTCATTCTGAATAAAGGGATGGTGGAAGAAAGAGAACTTTCTCTGGATTATGTTGGGGATAATTGGACCACGTATATATTATCTCTAAAGGTAAAATGTTTTATAGACATTGTTGCTATCATCACTTTATGCCATGTTACGATAGAATGTGTAATTACAAAGCTTGAAGTCCACGTGTTTCAATAGTGATTGTCAAGTCCTATTTTAAGCCTTTAAATCCCCTTTACAGCATCAGCCTGTGCCACAGGAGCCCACAGCTGATCACTATTGTTGCAAATGCACACACAAAATCACCCAGATGAATGGAGTTTGTGGTTAAGCTTTGGAATGGGTTGTTGCAGAAGATTTAAGTTTGGAGTGACTTGGCAGAGTTTTTTTAAAAAAAACAGGATGGAGTCCTCACTGTCTGGCATGGTCTCTGCCCTACAGAATGAAATAATGTAGGAGATTTAAAATTTTAATATGACGAAATTTCTATTGTCTTTTACTTTTTGTAACATAAATCATTTGGCTCAGTGTTTCTCAATGAGGAGTGATTTTGGCCCTCTGGGAACCTTTGGCAATGTCTGGGGACATTTTTGTTGTTGTAGCTAGGAGGTAGGTGCTACTGCAATGTAGTGGGTAGAGGCCAGAGTTGTGGTAAATGTGATGCACAGGAGACCAGCATGGAAGGTCAATAATGCCAAGGCCATGGAACCCTACCTTAGCCCAAAACTAATTTTATTTATTTATTTACTGATTTTATTTCTTAATATGTGCTACCAGTATTATATTTTTGTAATTTTTAGTTTATCAACCCATAAGTTGATTAAACCTTAGCCCAAAACTAATTTTATTTATTTATTTACTGATTTTATTTCTTAATATGTGCTACCAGTATTATATTTTTGTAATTTTTAGTTTATCAACCCATAAGTTGATTAAAAAAAATCACCAAGCAAACATTTCCAACACTTGCTCTGTCAGTAGATTCTAAATACATGATCATGAGTATCAGAAGTAGAAAGAGCTGGGCACGGTGGTGCGCAAATGTAATCCCAGAGGCTCAGGAGGCTGAGATTGGAGGATGGCGAGTTCAAAGCCAGCCTCAGCAATGGTGAGGTGCTAAGCAGTTCAGTGAGACCCTGTATCTAAATAAAATACAAAATAGGGCTGAGGATGTGGCTCAGTGGTTGAGTTCCATCCTCAGTACCATTAAAAAAAAAAAAAGTAAAAAATAAACAGTGGGCTTGGAAAGCCACAAGCGTTCACTTTATCATGTGCCCCCTGTGCCTTCGTAGCCAGGGGGCACATGATAAAGTGAAGGCTTGTAATAGATGGACGAAGAGACTCAGAGAACCTCTTAGAGTTGATCTCTAAATCCTCTAAAAGAGACGTTACTCTCATATCACTAATGTTCTCTGTGGTGTGTTTATTATGTCTCTGAGTGACAGTAGTTTTCAAGATACTTTCACTGAAAAGTAATCTAGTCATAAATCTCATTAATTTCTTTCAGCATCTAATTTTCTGAATCTCTAAAAATAACTGATTTAACAGGATTGCATTGGTTTCCCCTATTAAAAATCTATGGGGATTAAGTTTCCTTTTTATTCTCTGAATTCAATGGTAACCCTTTGTGTGTCAAATCGATGTCCATTTTATATAAAGGTCAGGGGGTCCAAAATCTCACTGATAAAATGATCCTTTCCCTGTGTCCTCTTCTGATTATAATATTTAATATTTTGTGTAATTCTATTCTTCTTTTTTAGGTTTTCACACACTTAGGACTGATTTATAATTTGTCTCTTCTGCAAAATCTTAGCAAGGAATAGAGCTGTGCAGAAGTGAAGTCACACCATCTCATTTTCTTTTTTATTTTTTTTTCCACATTGTTCCTTTATACTTTATTATAGTCTTTAGCCCTAAAGCATAAGTAACTCTAACCTTGCTCTTTCAAGATCGGTGTCCCTTGGCCTGCCTAGTTTTCAGGTTAGCTTTGCTGCAGAATGGGCCCACTTTATTATTCTTAGAGAAAATTCCATGGACTACTTAGGAAATTCAAGTGTCAGGTAAAACGGAGTTTAACAAGTAGCCTAAGGAATTTTTGGTTCAGGGAAAGAATCCATGAACTGTAAAAGCTCAAAAGACACTCTCAGGAACTTGGAGCAGTTTAAGCTTACCCTATGTATTCTTTCTCTGCAATCTTTTTTTTTTTTTCCTTATTTCTTTTAACCAAGGATTAAACTCAGGGACGATTAACCACTGAGGCACATCTCCAGCCCTTTTTATTTAAACACGGGGTCTCGCTGAGTTGCTTAGACCCTCATTAAGTTGCTGAGGCTGGATTTGAACTCACAATCCTCCTGCCTTGACCTCCTGAGCTACTAGGATTATAGGCATGCATCACCATGCCTACTTCTCTAAAGTCTTTTAAGTTGGACTGTTTTAGATGTGCAGGGGTAATATTTTCAAAGACATCCATGTATCATTGGTGAATCCAGCTCTAAAATGTAGATTGATTTTCTAGACCATTTAGTTTTCTCTCAAATACGCCATGATCTCAAGCTTTTGTTTATTAAACTGTGATAGCAAACTACTCCTTGAACCTACAGTGTCATTGTGTGTTAGCACTCAGCCATAAGTTGTGACATGCAGAGACCCCCAACTTCATTCTGTCTCCTTCAAGAGTTGGAAATGGACTTGAAAGAGCCTGAGTGACAGGCAACATAGGATTGAGCGTTAAATGGCACAGTTGCATTAGGAACTCCTAGAAGGGAGGAGACCATGGCAGAGCTAGAAGTCATAAGGCAATCAGTCTTCCAGGAAGAGCAGAACTCAGAGTGGTTCTCAAAATCAAGAGGGAACCACCAAGACACTAGATTCTCTCCTTCTGAGCAAATGTTGTACCCTTAAGCATCCCTGAATATCAGCATTATATTTGATCGCTAATTTAAAATTAAATAATTTTCACAGCATCTCCAATAATATTATAATCCATAGTCCTTGGAAAGATAATTACATACAAGGAAAAAGTTTATTTCATCTTAAATATTTTTCGTTTACAACACATTCAATACCTTTTTATCTTGAAAAGAAAAATAGGCTGGTGTGCCTTTGTAAATAACCATGAACCTTTAGTGATGTTCTCATTGGCAGATAGGTAGATCGTGTCTAATTTACTGCCTACGGCCTCTGTGATCTGCCACAAGCAAAGACACATTTTGGACAACTAGTTTAGCAACCAAACTCAAAGCCCAGCCTTAAATCAAATTAATGCCTAAAATAACGTGATTTTCATAGTCATCCACATGGATAGGGTTATACAAAGAAAGAATTCAAGTCAAAATCCATCATTCTCAGTTCAGATTGGCTCAGGTTCACTCAGGACAGCCACTGGGAGAGGCCTTTCCATGTTGATACTTGGGGAGAGAGATAAGCATAAGTGCTTTTGAAATTCTTGTCCTTCACTATTTTATTCTTGCTGCTGAGATTCAGAAGGATAATCCACTTTGACAGGAAGATTTGAAACTGGTTACTCTTTGCCATTTAGTGTTCAGAAGGTTTGATGAAGTATGATGTAAATCTGTGGCTCTTACTGTTTGTTTTACGTGTTATTTAGTGAAATCAGTTCGACTCTACCAATAGGCCATGAAAATAACAGGAGAAATGGCATTTTATGTGGCTGAAGTCTTGGAGATGATTTTGAACCATGACTTGTAGACTTAGAGTTTGGGATCATTTTTTCGGCGTCCTGTGTTGCCATGGTCCACCTCGACATTTGATGCAAACCCAAACCAACTGTGCTATCTGTGTATTTTGTTATTTGAAAAATGAAAGCTGTCAGGTCTAAGCAAGATGTGCGCGTACCTGTTTTTGAAATTCTGAAAGCTTGTCTCCATTGCAGAATGGAGAGTTTTGAAAGAAGTGTCAGAAAACGCACTCACTACGTACCTTGTGATTGAAGGTAACTCCTTTCTCTCCTTGCTCTAGAGCTATCCATCACACTCCTCAGCAGACATCAATTCCAGTCTTCCTCCGATGTCCACTTTCCACCGTAGTGGCACAAACCACTACAGCACCTCCTCCTGCACGCCTCCTGCCAACGGGACGGACAGCATCATGGGTGAGTCCATCCGCGTCAGGGTTGATAATGCCGGGCCGCTCTTCACCCATAGAACTGAACAGCAGGCAAGCAACAGAGACTTGTCACCCAACGGAATGGACAGACAAGTGAATCAAACAGAAATAATCACTGGCTTGATCATAGCCATGGTTTTGTGGTCCTAAGAAACTGAAATCTGGCTTCTTTGTCCATTAGAAGGCATTACGTTTAACAAGGGTTTAAGTGAACAAAGTGAACCCCTCTTAAGACCGGCCGTGGAAGACAGGTGAGAGAGGGGCCGGAATAACTCTTTTAACAGTTGTCATTTGCCATTTCCTAGATCCATTTCTCTGCTAAGTCCTTAGCCATGACGGTGACACCCTCCTCCTGTGAAATGGCTCAGGTGACTCTTGATAGCGAGGTGCGCTCAGGCCTCTGGCCTCTGGCCTCTGGAGAATGTGGCATAATGGAGTGCTTCCAGCAGGAGAGAGAGAAGATGGCTGGCATTAGAGGGCCAGAAAGGACTGGTTACTCCTCTGTAATGAGTTAAGGGCCAAGAAGATTGTCCCGGATTGTCATGACTTGCCTTGTGGTCCTGGCCTTCAAGTACTCTCCTCCTGAGGGAGAATCTCGGCAGGGGGTCCTGCTACCCTAGAGGGAGGCAGCTGCCACTCCTGGATCTGCCCCGAGGGCTTCCATCCACATGGGCAGCGAGCTCCACCTTGGAGTTACCTGCCCTCCTTGAAACCTGACTTCCTTGGCCACTACTCCCTCTGGTTCTAGTTCAGTCCACACTCCCCTTGGCCTCATAGTCATTCCCAGAGGGTCACTAATGAGAATACTCTAGAATCTGTTTTTGAGAGAACATTGTGTGACAGAATAATGCTGCTATTTATCCTTCTTAGTTCTTGACAGTTTTTTCCTTTTTTTTTCCTTTTTTTTTTTTTTGGATGGTCTGTAGAACTTTTGGAAGTGGTGTGAATCACTTATGTGGGAGCGTTTTTTGATGAAGGGGATGCATTTTGAAATGTTGCAAATATAATTTCTGCCTAAATAATACCTTCTCTGCTTATTCAGTAAATTATTTCACTCTTGGGGTGATCCATCTAGCAGCCCTCCACGATCATGCCTCACTGAGAAGCCAGTTTAGGAAAGAGTTTCCATTTCCGTGACTTTAATAATAAAACTTCTAGGAGTATGTTACACCATTTTGTCCTTGGAGAGCTCTGGACAGAGGTCACATGGGGAAATTTCTTAGCTCTCAGTGCACTTTTGGCAGATTTGAAAAACAAGAAGAAAGAAAAGTGCAGAACTGAAAGAGAGAGAAAAGCATATTTCACTTCAGTGCGGTTTGACAAATGGAAAGCCCCTTTCTGCTGTCATGAGATCTGGTTATAAAGGAGAATGACCAGTCATTCATCCTCTTACATGACAGATTTCCTGTCTACTTGTGGTTTGAGTAATTTTCTTTTTTAGGAAGGTATGAAGGTGGAGCAGACCCTTGAGTTGAGGAATACATACTTAGGCTCTGTTAAAAAAAAAAAAAAGGTAGATTAATCTGCAAAACAATCTTCCTGGTGGGAAAGGCACTGTGACTTAGGAAGAAAGAGATATTATGCGATCATGTAAATCATCCTTGGTGAGCTCTGGGCAGCTTAGCCACAGGCACAGTGGGAGTGAGATCTCCTTGGTTTCAGCTGGTGCCTCATCATGAGCTTGTCAATGCACAGGACTGTCCTCTCAGTGAGTCTGGGTCCAGTGGAGCCATGTGCGGCTTCTGCATTTTTAGTATGGGTTCAATTTGTTAGAGACTACAGAACCCTGCTAAGGGTCTAGAAAGTAATAAAAGAGATCTAATTTGAAAAGAGGAAAGTATAGGGTTTTTTGAAAGCCAGAAAAGGAATTTTTAGGAAATTCATTACATGAAATATCTCACAATAATGCATGTACTTGTCAAAATCCATTAGCAGAATATGAAAAAGTTTATAATCTTTTAGGATGTAAGTAGCTATGACAGTTCAGCTTTTTGGAGGAATAGGCTACCATTAATTTGCGTAAATGCAGAAAGCACTTTAAGGTTCCTAGAATTCTAGAATGTTCTCCCTTAAAAATAACATGTCCTCCAATTCTTTAAGTACAAAGAAAATTTAAGGATGATGATAAGCCTTCGTACTGCGCAGTGTTCCCAAGGATCATGTTTCTTCCCACTTCAGTTTTCTTAGACTGCAGTTTGGTTTTTAGTGGGTGGTTGAAGGCAGCAATGGCACCATGTCTGTATGACAAGAAAAGAAGCTTTCTCTTCTGGTGTTAGTGATACTTCACTAACAAACTGTATGGATTAATAGGATACATCTGTAGACTTTTGAAAATATTTGGCGTACATTCACTCATTCTGAAATGCAGGAAATAAAGAAATATTACGTTGCCTATATCTCAAAGAACAAACAGAGCTAATTAAATAATTGGTAAATAGGGAACACATAGCCTGACACATGTTTGAGATTACACACATGATTCTGTAGAAAATAACTGTAAGCAATACTAATGCCATAAGAATGGGGCTCAAACACTAACACATGGATGTCACATTTTTCAAGTTTTCTTGGTAAAAAGTTGCAAGGCACTGCGATCCTTTTGAATGCACAGCATTGATGTCTCAGGAAGTGGCCTCCTCAGTTCAGAAGACCAGGTCTGCGTCTCAGTTTCATGTAGCAGTGTGCTTCTTAGTGGTCAGCAGTTGTCCTGAAATGAGAGTAGTCTAGCCCAGGCCTATAGAGTGAGACTGGCGCTCCGGAGCCATCAGACAGTAACCTCTCTGGAACTGCACACCGAATTCTTGTCCATCTTATGCATTTCACAGAGGGAAAGTGCTCACTGAGGTTTGGGGTAGTTTGTTATTTGTTTTGCTTAGAAGAAGTGACCATTGTTTCATGGTTTTATTTTTCTCTTGTCTTTTAATCCCCAGTATTGCTTTTTGAGAAACCTTTAGGAAGTAATCAAACTTAGATTATATTAATGAGAGGGTTTTATTTTTAAATGATGCATTCATTCATGAATCAATGAGAGAATGGAAGACTGAAATATTTTATTTGTGACATGCAGTCTACTCTCAAACCTTGTTAGCAAACTCTAGAGATGATTTTACCCATTTCTGAATTGAAAGAGGGTCTTAAGTACCCTGGAATTATATGAAAGTGATAGGTAGAACACAGCACATATTCACAGTAGCTCAGCTGGTGTAGCGCCCCATTAAGGAGAGAAGCTTTTAGGTTACCAGCATTAGAGCCTTCAACTTGATTCCTAAAACCCTTCTAATGTTATGCTGCTGGTATATCTCAAAAGCAGAGTAGTCTAATTCCTGTGCATGTGAGCATACAGACAGGAGGAAAGCTAATAAATTATTAGCACAAGATAGAGAGAACAGAAATGACTACAGGAAAGTAGCCACGTGCATTTTGCTATCCACGTATTTCCTTCCTAACTGCCGTATGTAGCCCTTCCTGACCAGAAGTAAGAGGACCCTTGACCATAGTCCAGTCCACTGAAACTTTTCAAGCTGAGAGCCTCTGAGCACTCTCTCCAGCTCCCCACTGGGAGTTGCCATCTGTGTACATTCACAGAATGTACCCCTTGTGGCTTGGGGCTCAACATCCTCCCTTCCCCTTGGAAGGAATCGGGCATATAACTAACATAATGGATATAATAACTATTGTTGTTTTATTAGTCTTCCACTGGCCCGCTTCCTAATGCAAGATATTTCCTATGTTTTCAAAGCTCAAACCAAGTAGTGTTGAAGGAACAGACTACCAAGATTGATTTAATACACCATGTGCTGAAGATTACTCTGAACTATCTAGCTGGATCATGAATTAATCTGGCTAACAACTTTCACTTCTAATGACATGTTTGTATGACATGATGCATTTTAGGATGTGACTTTCTCGTGGAAACATTGTGTCCCTTTTCCCTGGAGGACCTGGTTTCACAGTCATTTTATGATTAGTCACATAACATTCCCTTTGTATTTTACAAGGATCTTGAGCCTTCAGATACAGTTGGGTGCTGACCAGGCACAGAGTAACAGAGTAATGCGAGTCGTATCCAGCAGCATCATGTTGGGTGTTTGGTAGTTAGAGACCACCAAAGCAGAACAACAAGCCAGTCTCCTGTAAGTCCTCTTCACCGTTTCCTGCACATGGTCACAAGCGCGCCCCTCCCCACCCCTGTATTCATTCCTTGGAATCCTTCCTACTCCGTATTCCAGCATTGCAGACCATTTTCGAGTTTTTCTTCTACAAATGCCGTAGTAGCAGGAGTGCTGGAAACATTCCCCTCTCGCTCATCTTCACAGACAAGCTCAGGGCATCCTAATGCTGCTCCTACTGGTTTTATGACATAAGGGTCACTCGGACACAGTTCAGAGAAACTTCATGCTAAAGCAGTTGTCCTCGCTAAGGCAAACACACCACGGAGGGCACTTCTTGTTCCTTTGATGTCTTCGTGATGTTCCCGGCCTCAGGTTATGAGTGTGCAATAAAAGGGAAACACATTTTCCAAATTCTGATTTTTTTCAGAACTTGATCCCCAGGCACCACTCTTCCCAGTGTTTTGTTTTGGGTGTGTTCTGAAGGGAATTGCCACTTCCCCAAAGCCAAGGCCAAGACAGAGGGTGGTCCAGCACGCAGCCCGGCTCCGAGGCCCTGCTTGCCGCTTCATCTTCCAGCCGGCCCCAGCACCTGTGATCTGTCCCACTGAACAATTCTTGGGTGGCTGGCAGTGTCGAATCCTCCTACAAAATTACAGTTCCTCTTCATAACTGCTCATCTCCCATCCATATTTATCTTGCCACTCGATTCAGAGGCAGATTATTTTTTCTCTTGAGCAAGAGAAATCGATTAGAACCAAACTAATGCAAGGAATCCATACAGCCCTTCCCAAGTCAAGGCCATATTTCTGTGACAGGGGCATTTGGGTAATTGCTGTTGATATAAGTTGACCAAAACTTAGGCCTGGAGAGTAATCAGGTACTGATATAGTAAAGCTGAAAATATAAATTTGATACATGTTTTGCTAAACATGATTAATTTGTTTAAGGAGGAGGAGGAGGAGGAGGGGAAAAATTGGACCATTTGAGATTAAAAGTATATTCCTTTTCTGATTCCGTATGTCCTTTGATATGTCCCTCATACACAAAAAAGAGAAATCTCTTAAGAGAAGGGCCCATTTCACTTAACATGTTCAGGGAATCTTGAACATGTGTCCCCTCCAGGGTGTCCTGGAACAGAACAAAAGGCATTCCCAGGGAGAGGGTGAACTGGCCCCAGTAAACTTCTTTGAAATTTAAGCCCTGGGGTTTGGCGGTCCAGCTGTTGCAAGGTAACAGGGCCTCATGTTAAAAAAAACTCTGTTCTTATAGTGACTTCCATGAGTAACCTTTGTAGTTTTCTGAAACATTTTCATGACAAGATGAGGTAAGGAGCTGGTTCTGTTTCTGGTACTACTTCCTGAGTCTTAGTATCTCTGTTTATAAAACCGACACTAAGAGAAAGCTTAGTTAGAAAGGTGTACTGCTATAAGAAGTCATAACAGGAATACCTTATCTCTTCTAAAGTACAATTTTGTGTGATATATAATTTATTTTGTAAAATTCTTGAAATTATTTTTATTTGTTTTCGATTCTTCCTGTTTGGTTTCATGAATTTTCTTTAAAAAAAATTCGTAATTCTCATTTTTAAATTGTTCAAAGGAAGAATTGATCTTTTAAAATTTAAGCCCTTTTGAAAACTACTTCTGTGGCAAATTTTTAACTGTAATTAAAACAATAGCTTGGGGGTTTTTTTGGTGTAGGTTCTTTGTTAGATAAGGTGATCCACCCCCCCATCCCCAGTGTGGCTCTAAACGTACACTTCATGAAGATCTGTATTCATATCAAACAGATATCACAAATTATTTTCATTGCTCACTCTAATTTTTTTGGGGGGGTGAGGGGTACCAGGAATTGAACTCAGGGGCACACAACCATGAGCCATATCCACAGCCGTATTTTTTGTATGTTATTTAGAGACAGGGCCTCACTGAGTTGCTTAGCATCTCACCGTTGCTGAGGCTGGCTCTGAACTCAGGATCCACCTGCTTCAGCCTCCCTCCTCAGCCTCCCAAGCAGCTGGGATAATAATAAAAAGATAATGTTACTTACAGAGGAGGGAAAAGGAGACAATTCTCCTTTCCCAGATACCATGATAATAAATGCAAACGACTACTAGTGCTGTCTGTGTCTTCAGCTCTTCATTATATTTTATTCAGAAATGCGTTTAGGTTTTAGTTTCATTTGGGCAGTAAGTCCTCTACTGCTGAGCTACATTCCCAGCCCTTTTGGTTTTATTTTTTTATTTTGAGACAGGGTCTCACCAAGTTATTGAGAAGCCTAGCTGAATTGCTGAGACTGATCTCCAACTTGCCATCCTCCTGCCTCAGCCTCCCAAGTCACTGGGGTTACAGGCATGCACCACTGAGCTCCATGGCTGTGTTTAGTTTTTAAAGAACTTACACAGAAATCCTTCTCATTTTCTCACTAGATATAATTTCATCTATCTTTCGTCTTATATTAAAAATTTGAATATGCTTGATTTCTGTTTAGATTTCTTCCACTAGCCCAGTTCTAGGATGGCATTCCCTGATTTCAAGAAATTTCTTACATGTATGATCTTGAGTACTAATAACTCATGTAGTTTTAATATCATAAATTTGTGATATGTAAAAGAAGAGGTTTTCATTGAGTCTAACCATATTCACTTGATCGTATTACCAGTTTCCTTTCATTATTTTAGTAATTCACAAATGAATATGTGTACAGGTCTTGTTAACCAAATAAACATGTATCAAAAGATGACGTGGACTGGGTTGTGACTCAGGGGTAGAACACTTGCCTCGCATGCATGAGGCACTGAGTTTGATCCTCAGAACCACATAAAAATAAATAAATAAAATAAAAATATTGTGTCCATCTACAACTAAAATGATACTTTTTTTAAAAAAAAAAAGATGATGGAACTGACGTGCAACATCTAAATATGTAAAAGTGAGAAGCAGAACTTAACTATGCTGAACAGAGGCCAGGAGAAATGAAATCAGGACCTGGAGAAGCACAGGATTTGACCCTTGAAGGTCTGGCCACACCGTTGCATGTTACAGGTCAGGGAGAGGATGAGGCCTGCTGGTCCCCAAAAGGTCTCTCTGGTTCACTGGTACAGCTGGGAAAATGTTTCAGATTACACAAGTGTGCAGTGAAATTCTGCTTAAGTCATAAGCATATTCAAGATTTCCTTTTTTCATTTCACCAAACAGTGAGAACATCTTCCCCTGGAAATTGCATGGGTTTTGTTTGAGTACTATGCCCCTTTGCTTGGATTGAAGTCTTAATACACACCACATGCCCCGAGTTCTAGGCATCGTTTTAATCCTCAGGGGCATTTTTAAAAAATGAGGAATCATCACATTATTGGCACCTGGGGGACTTGGCTTCTCTGTTTTGTCCACCCTGGCTCACCCATTTTACCATTTAGTCTTAAACACAAGTTACCTTCAGAAGGTGCATGTTAAATAGAGCTGGCTTTCATTTATACACTGGGGTATATGCCTTGTATTATACTATCCTTTGTTAATTCACTTTGTAGAGAAAATATCAATGTTTAAGGTGGTAGAAAAGCTTTATGACTTATTTTATGTCTAGAATTTGAGAACATATTGACTCTTAGTAGCATAACAGTCAAATATTTTTTTTAATGTGAACATGGATTTAAGTGTGTGAAAAACATGTTATTTAAAGTATTCAAAATATTTTCTCTCCTTGTTAGCTGGACCAGTTGTAAATTCTTTTATTGTTGGTTTTGCTTGATTCAGCTGTGGAGCACTCAGAGGAAAACCCCATTTTGCTGGGTATCAGGTTTTTCTTTATTCAAAAAGAGGTGTAAATTATTCATAAAGGTAATTCAATTTGATATTTAAAAATATATAAAGAAAAGCTGGATTTGGGGGACTTGAGTGTCCTGGAAGTGCTGCCTACACCTGAGCCATATCCACCACATGTTGGCATGCAACTGGTCACCAGCAACCACTCCTAACCAACAAGAGGGAAAGTAATAGCAACTAAAACACTTTGTCTTTAAACCAAGGTGTCAAGTTTATATTTTATCTGTAAAAAAATGTAACATGAATATATTTGACATCTACCTCAGCAAACAAATTAATGCTAATTAAAGATTAATGTGTTGTAATTAGCATTAAAAATGCAATTAAATTGTGAGTAAATGGACCAGGAATAGAAAATTGTTAGACGTCTCACTGCCTGGTTTTCATATTCTGCCTTTTGTTTTTGCAGCAAATAGAGGAAGCGGGGCAGCAGGCAGCTCCCAGACTGGAGACGCTCTGGGGAAAGCACTTGCTTCGGTGAGGAAATATTGACTTTGGACTCCACGCGTACCATTGTAGCAGGATGAACTTTAATCAGAAGTGGACATTTGGAATTTTAGAAAATGAATGGCAGATATCTTTGATTTTTTGGAAAACGCTAGCTGTCCTGCATAATGATCATTGGAAAAGTTGAGGGGGCACGGTTTTGTGTCCTGCCCGTGGCTGGTCTCTACCATCTTGTTTTCTCACAGTGTTGGCTAAGCTAGAGTATTCACTTATTGATCTGATGATATTCTCAGAGCCTTTCAGTTTCTAGATTTTCTATGTAGATTTCTTTTTATTTTCTAAAGTCATATGGTGCTCACTGACCAATAATGCTAGCTTTGCCAGGATAGTTCTAAAACACTTTGGAATAGGCATTTTTAAAAAATGGGGAATCATCACATTATTGGCCCCTGGGGGACTTGGCTTCTCTGCTTTGCCCACCCACTACTAGGAAGACAGAATTAAATGGTTCTCTTCCTGGATGCTCCCCAGTGACAAAATGGCACACCTTATTTGACCGAGGAACTATACCTGATATTTTGGTCAAAAGCTAAACATTATCAGTTGCAAATGTAAGTGGAGGTTATCTCTGGTTGCTTTTTTCCTAACCATTAGGATTGTAAAATAAATCTAACTTATATTAACATTGTGTCCTAAGTAAAAGTGCTTATTTAATCTGGGCCTTCTATAGCTTTGGAATCAGAATGCCCTAATTATAATGAAAGGCACTGGAGGTAAAACCTTAGAAATGATACTGTCTAACCTCTCATTTTGTAGAAGAAGGTGTTACATTTTGCATTTCAGAGTATTGGTACTATAGTTGATGCTTACATGTATTTGATAACTTGTAATATTTAAATGAATTGCATTGGTAGCTTTGTAGTTTTAAAAACTGTTAATTGTTTATTCCTAATAAATGAAGGATTTTTTTTTCTTTCTTACCATTTAAGATCTATTCTCCAGATCACACTAACAACAGCTTTTCATCAAATCCTTCAACTCCTGTTGGCTCTCCTCCTTCTCTCTCAGGTACTGTATCTTAAATCATATTTCATCCTAGTAACAATTTTTGAGAATGATTTCCCTTTTATACATTTTGCTGTAGCAGATAGAAATTCACTCCCCTCCTCCACTCCAAAACCAAAAACATCACAGACAAATAAAACAGGATGGGAGAGACAGATTACAATATGACAGTACATTTACGTCCAAAATCTTTCTTAAAAATTAGATGATCCTTTTAGACTACACAGGCACATGAAAAATTTATTTCTTAAACTTTTCTTAGCTCTGCCAAAGACTCCCAACAGCAGAATAATATATTCCAACAAAACATCTCAGATGGAAAAAACTTGGTTAATGTAATTGTAAATATGAATATAGACTATATAGTCATCAAATGTAGGCTACTTACACAGATCATTTCCTGTAGACATTTCAGCCTTTCCAAATTATTCCCTCTTTAAAATATGTGCCATTGGAATATTTGAGAGAAACTATACTTTTGTAAATAAATTGTGAAACAATTTTTTTGGAGCATAGGAGATGTTTGCCTCTAAAATATAACAAATTAACATGAAATATGGCTTCAAAATGAATAATTATAAGTTGAAGGATATGTCAGTAAGTCATTTAACGTTTCAGAGATGCATTTAAAAGACTTAATATCTTTCCTGTATAAGCACATCTAGAAAATCTTACCTGATACCTGTCTCACCCTGGAAAAAGACAGATGGCTTCCAAACAAAACTAAATCACATGCATTCCTGACTGAAAACTGACAGGCAAGGGATCTTCTATGAATTTTAGTAGGTCAGTTTTCAGTAAGCCACTGTAATTCATAGTGGATCCTTTGCCTAAAAGTTACATCCTCAAACCCTGTTTTATCCCCTATATGCAATGTTCATATGGCCCATTATAAATTGGGTTCCCTGGTAGAGAATGGAAAGTTTCAGATTGTTGCAGAACTTTCCTAAGTAATGACTGCGACTAAGATGCGATTTCATATCAGCTATTTCCAAGCCCCCCATGATAGGGGAGGGTCACAGAATAAGAAAAGGGATGGGTAACTGCATTCTGACATCCATGTGTCTAAAAAGGCCAAGTTGAAACTGAAAGAAATAAAGATATTCGTAAGAGGATCGTGAAGTATTATTCCCCGTGGCACAAATGGAAAGTGAAGTTCGGTGGTGTTGTACTCTTCTAGTTCTGCACCAGATTCTTAGGCTCTGAAAAATGATCTCTTATGCAGTGTCTAGAACCAGAGAAGGATTGGGTAGAAAGCACTCGAGGCCGTAGGGATAGAGCATCTGAGTTGATGAAACGCCTCGCTCCCCATTTCAAACAAAGCAACTCTAATTCCATGAGTTCTAATTTAGAAAAAACAAACAAGCAAGCAAACAATGTTCTCAGGTTTTAAACTGTAAGAACAACTAATTTAGTCTAATGCCCAGTTCTATGGATATGTGTACCAAGGCCCTTAGATGGGTGGTGTAGCTCAGTGGTAGAGCACTTTTGCCTAGAATGAGAGAGGCCCTGGGTTCAATTCCCACTATCCTTGAAAGGAAGGAAGGGAGGAAGGGAAGGAGGGAGGGAGGAAGGAAGAGAAGGAGGATGGGTGGGCAAGGGCAAGCAAGTTGCCAAGGTTATGCCATTAGCGATAGATAGTAATGTCAGAGCTCCTACACTGTGGTTCTGCTTCTAGCTTACAGTGGGACCAGAAAGTCAGCATGCGTAATCTTTCAGGGGACTAGCACACGTGCCTGCAGCCTGTGCAGCCTCTTCTAGGTGGAAGGCACAGAAACAAGGCTGCAGATGCCACTTTCTGGGTCCTGGAAATGCATCCTGGGAAGACCACGTGCTGGGGAGAAAGAACTTTTATGAAGATATAAATAAGGGGACAGATTGCTATTTTCACACTGACGGCTCTGTCCAAATTCTGTCAAGAAAAGTAATTGAACAAAATATTCTATTTTTGTTTAGCATAAAAATACACAGGCATACCCAGAAAAGACAGGAAGAATGGATTTTGAAAGTGCTAACAGCATTGGGGCATGAGATTTCAGTGAGATCATAGCTATTAGTTTTTTTCTTTTTTTGAATTATGTATTTTCTGAGCTTTGTACCCTAAGTACATATTAAATTTAAAATTGGTTTTTATTTATTTTGCAGGTTAGACATAGAATTAGTTGTTGATGGACACAATACCTGTACTTTTTTTTTTTTTTTAATGTGGTGCCAAGGATAGAATGTAGTGCCTCACACATGGTAGGCAAGTGCTCTACCACTGAGCTACAACCCCAGCTCATTCTAATAAGAAATCTTTCTTTACCATCAGGTTTTGTGAATTGTGATATGTTTATTTTCTTCAAGAGAAAATATTAGTTGTTACTATTGAATGGAGTTTGAAAATTTCTGTTTAGTGGATTTTTTTCTAAGTAGTCTAATTCTTTTTAAATGTTTCCAAGAGGCTCAGGGCTCTAAGTTTAATCCCAGGTTCCCAGCCCCCCCTCAAAAAAATGTTCCTAAAGAATAATCTCATTTCATAGGTCACTTTATATAGGTGTGTGTGTGTGTGTCACAATACCTTTATTTATTTATTTTTATGTGGTACTGAGGATCAAAGTCAGTGCCTCACACATGCAAGGCAAATGCTCTACCACTAAGCTACAATGCCAATCCATAGATCACATAAAACAAATAGCACAGGTGCTTTCCATTGATGAGGGGATTTTGGTTGAACATAAACTAGCCTTGCATAAAGATTTAACAGCCCCTCCTCCTGTGTACCCTTAAAAGTACTCTATAGTAACTGGTTTCTTCTACCAGGAGCCTTTCCAGCTGAAATTAAGACTCCATTAAATGTTCTCTTCTAGAAGGAACTGAGGGTCCATGTAGAGTCTACATGTTTTACATTTCAAGGGTTTTCCTGGCCTAGGGAAGCAGCTCAGTGGCCTAATGTGCACACAGGCTCCGAGTTTACGCCCCAGCATGGCAAAAGAAAGGATGAAAGGAAGAAAGAAAATGTTTTGCTTGCACAGCATTCTGGTCTGAGAAGTTCACGTGTAGTTGCCTTATTGTTTAAGAGAACATCAGCATCAAAGGGCTATTTTTTAAAAATACATGCAGTTGATTATTAAGTTGATATGAATCTAATTTTAATTCTCATTGTACTATCAGCAGGCACTGCTGTTTGGTCAAGAAATGGAGGTCAGGCCTCATCATCTCCCAATTATGAAGGACCCTTGCACTCCTTGGTAAGTCTCCTCTGCTTCTCTCCAGCCACTTTCCAATCCAGTTTTTCCTTTCCATCTACTTCACATTCCAAGATGCTCCTTGTTGCCGATCACTGTGACTATAGGTCAATGTTACGCCACACCAGCTTGATTACAGCCAGTCATTAGACTGCTTGTTTATGTCTGTCAATGGTTACCTAGATACTACCACAGTGCAAGGCCCAGGGTGCTGAGCATCTAGGACCAAAGAAGAGACTCAGAATCCCAGCAGGATAATGACCTCTACCCCCATGGTTGGGAGAGACCCCTGCCCATGATTAAATAACTTCCCTGCCATCAACCAGCTATGGCTCCTGCTCAGCCACTCGGCTAGAGCACTCAAAGATTCTTGCTGCCTCTACTTTGTTTCCCAGAATAACAAGTTTATAGGAGGTTTCCTCTTAACCTCTGAATAAGAGACCTACTGTTTATTTCCTCATTCACTGTGGTTCTCATAGGAATTCAGTAATATTGTTAATAGTACAGAAGTGCCTACTCTTCAGGAGGAAATAGCTGAACATTTCCATGGGAATAATTCGTACTATAAATACTCATGATGATTCAGTGTCTGACACTTTAGTCTTCCTCAACTCTTGGTGGATGGGGCTGGAAATACGCACGCAGCCACCCTGATCCATGCAGTATCTGGTCTTGACATGAGTCAGGTGGGGAGGGTAGCCAGAAGTGGGGCAAGCCCATTAGTCCTTCAAAGCTGAGTTTTCCTTTTTTTCCTGAAAATTTCTAGATGAAACAGAAGGCGTGGATTTCCCTAACTTCGTGTTATCTTGTCAGTGTTTCCGTGTCTTCCCTCTCTGCTCCCTCTTTAAGGAAAATCGAAAGATGAAAATACAAAGATGGATTCCCTCCTTCATGGTGCTCTTCTCCTTGCTGGAGTGCCTGAATCATCCAGCTATGCATTTTAGCCAATAAAGGGAACCACACACAGAGATAGCATGTGCACTACCAACCGATTGATTAGCAGTCTATACCTAAATAATGCATAGCTGTTTTAAGAGTTTGCCTCCTTTGGTTATTCTCCAGGACCCAACCATCCAAACCAGGCTTTTTCCAGCTTTAGAACTAGAAGGCTATTTATAGTTCTGGACTACAGCTTCCATTCCTTATGGATCGGAATGCTCAGAGGGGCTTCAGAAGTAGAAACTCCTCTTTCTCTCTACTAGGAGAGCCAGCATTAGGATAGGCACATGTCTGTCTTTTCATGCTTACATTTACACTCAGAAGTATGTTTTATCATTCCCATTTCTATAAATTAAAAAATTCAGGCTCAGAGCTGGGACTCTAGCTCAGTTGGTAGAGCACTTACCTAGCTAGCACGTGTGAAGCACTAGGTTCAATCCTCAGCTAAAAATAAAAAATAAAGCTATGGTGTCCATCTCTATAAAAACTATTTAAAAATGAAACTCAGGCTCGGAGAAGGTTAGTGACTTTTCCCAGGTCAAATAGTAGCAGAGTTAGCAGTCTCAGGAGATAGTTTAACTCCCAAGCCCACCGAATCAAAATTGCTCTGTACCATAGACTAACTCCATTAGACACACATTCTTCCTGTCGATATAGAATAATTAGAAATTGCTTTTCTCATGCCGTAGAACTGGCCCATCTGTTTGCCCAGCACATGAGGAATCAGAGAAGATCATAGCTTGATGCGGTACAGAGCAGCACAAGGTTTAAAGTCCAGAACTCTTGATTCCAACCCCGACTTTATGTTTCCTAGCAGTATGACACTGAGGAATTAATTCACTTCTTTTCTTTGAGCCTCTTTTTACCCTCTGTATGAAAGGGATATTAATGTCTTTCTGTCTGTAGTACCCATGAGCAGCAAGGATCAATGAGATGTTACATTTTAAAGGGTACAACAGAGAGTAATACTTGATGTCATTGATAAAAGCAAAAAAGTGTGTGTGTGTGTGTGTGTGTGTGTGTGTGTGACCATTTTCTTTTTCCTCTAATGGAGGCCTCACCTAGCTGAGGTAAACTAGAATCCTAATGTGGCTAGAATGAAAAATGTCCTTGGGCTTATGACTATATGAGGTAGTGACTCTGTACCATAGAGGGGCTTTGAACTCATTTAGACATCGTCCTCAGTGAATGAGGGGGTCAGATCTTTATGATGCTTCAGTCTTCAAGTTTTACATTACTTTGGTTGATAGAATTTTAGGATTTTTTTTTTCTGTAACAAACTTGGGGGCCTTGCATACACATGTGCACACACAGGTAGACTGGTATTGATAGTAGACAAGAAGCAACTCACACAGGTTAAAAACTCAGTAGGAAGCCAAAATCTATATGCTTTTACCTGTCTCTGACTTGAAAATAATTTAATTAGGAAACCACAAATAGGCCATCTTCCACTGAACTCTTAACTAATCCCTTCCGGAATGTCTTGGGTTTTGGTTTGTTGTTGTTGTTGTTGTTTTTAGATATGTGCCTAGTCGAAAAAGAATGTAGGCCCAACTCTCCATCATGACGGCTTAGGAACCTACATCCTCAGTAACACTCCTAATGCACAGACTCTTTCTTGAAATTCAATGAATGGTCTTTTGTAGAGTAAATCTAATTCTCTTTCAAGCTAAAACAGTTCAGTGTAGCATACATACACAGTAATGTCCTGGAAGAACTTTTTTTTAATTTACTTTTTCATGTAAATAATAAAACAATTTTAACATCAACATTTCCCACCAGTTTTCCAGGAAGGACATTATGTATTTTTATTATTGTTCTAAGGCAATTAACTTTATTGCAAACATATATTCAAGAAACCAAAGTGTGGTTTGTGTCCATCAAAGATCTCCTTATGTAACTAACCTATGCGTGTATTTCAAACTAAATCAAATTTTACGTCATTTATTAACCAACAGCAAAGCCGAATTGAAGATCGTTTAGAAAGACTGGATGATGCGATTCATGTTCTCCGGAATCATGCAGTGGGCCCATCCACAGCTGTGCCTGGTGGTCATGGAGACATGCACGGGATCATTGGACCTTCTCATAATGGAGCAATGGGTGGTCTGGGCTCAGGGTACGGAACCGGCCTTCTTTCAGCCAACAGACATTCACTCATGGTAAGTGATGAGATTTGTAGAGTATACAAATTTGTACAGTGCGGAATTAGAATTTCAGGTTTAAATAACTACTGCTACTGGCTTTTCTAAAGCAGCTTTATTGAGAAAACAAAAGTTCACCCATTTATAGTATACAATCCAATGTATTCTAATGCATTCACAGGAATTTGCAGCCATCATGACACTCTAGTTTTAGGAGATTTTAGCCCACTGTAAAAAAGAAAACTCACCAAGCACTTATTTCCCACCCTCTGCCTCCAGCAACCACTAATCAATCTACTTTCTGCCTACAAATTTGCCTAAATATGGACATTTTCCATAGATGGGATCACATAACACATGTTGGTCTTTCTGACGAGCTGCTATTAGTTAGCATAATCTTTTCAAGGTTTATCTATATTTTACCATATAGAGAGCTTCTTTTGTTTTCACTGCCATTTCAGGCATGGCTAGACCACATTACATTTATCCATTTATTAGGTGATAGGTAACTTGGTTTGTCTCTGGTTTGGGGCTGTTATGAGTGATCCACCTATAAATGTTCATGCACAAGTTTTTGTGTGAGCACATGTTTTCCATTCTCCTAGCATATATCCAGGAATGAGTTGCTGGGTCACTGATGGTGTTTTAAACCATTTATCTTGGTGACTTTGATTTAAGGGTTCAACCTTGCCTTTCAAATATGAGCAGGTTGAGCTTATTATTATTATTCCTATCCTTATTATTATCATTATCATTAAAGAAGCCAAAATGGTCCCTTGTGTCCTCAGTACGGCGGGAGGTAGAAGCATATGGTAAATTTGTTTGTGTACATACATGTTATGGGATTGTGAAATGTAATGTAGAGAATAGTTTTGCCACCACCAATTTATAAATGAGAGTTTATTTGAATAATCTGTTAGCAGATTTGTCCACCTGACAATTGGAGTGTCTCTTTTAGTCTTTTGCAAAGAATTTTAGAAAGCATCTTTTGGGGTGTGTTACAAAGACACTGAGAATATTAACAAAATATTAAGTTGTGACAATTAATGAAGTGACTAAATAGGTGTAGAATTTGATCATAATTATAATAATTCTGCTCTATCCGGACTCCTGTCTGGTCATAAACACCTTAGTGTCCTAATCTGTCCCTTCTAGATTTTTTTCTAAAAATTGCTTGAATGACAGTCTCTTTTCCAGTATAACGGTAGCATCTGTTGTTTAAAGCCATTCTAAAGGAAACACAAAATAAGTACAAATTATTAGGAGTTTCTTCAAGTTCTTGTTCAAGAGTATTATAGTGTCAGTTTCTCCTACTAAAACACTAAGATGAAGAGTACTGTCCTGAGCAGTGTAATATCAAAACCTGCAACCAATTTGAAACCCAAAATACTGGATTATAAATAGAAGCAATGAACTCACTTCTAAAATGTGGAAAGATATTTTTGAATGCCAAAGCTATATCTTTTTTTCTTTTTTTTTTTTTCTTTTCCTTGACCTCTACCCTAAAAATTCATCACTAAGTAAAATTTGTCTGTTCATAGTGGTTGCTAAGAGTTTACAAAAGGAAAGTCTAGATTTTAATTTGGCTTGGCCTCAGGTAATGTGTTAAATACACTTGGGATGCATATAATATGAGATTTTCATTTGTACGGCTCTTTTTTTTTTTTTCTAACTACGATGTTTAAACAATACTGCTTTTAATTAAGAAATCTGGCTTTATTAAAAGCCAGATCTGTGACTTATAACCATTTCTGTATATCTGCTCTCAATCAAGAGAAAAATAGTTTAATTTCTGTAGCTGGGTTCGTTTTGCATATGTTAACCGGATGCAGCACGCAGCCAGGGCATTGCTTCAGAGACTGTCTTTCCATAAATATGTAAAGTTTGTTCTTAAGTACCAGATGTAGGTTAAGTGGTTCTTTAACATACTAAACTATACATAGATGCTTTTTGGAACTATTTGACCTTTGAATTGCCTCCTCTTTGGGTCTGATTCAGAGATGGGATGGGAGGAAAAGTCTAGAATTATTTTTGGAGTTGGGGAGTTGAACTGATTTCAGTGCAGGGGAACAGGAGAGAATAGAACAGAACCATTTTGAAAAGGGAAATTAATTGGCCAATATAACACAGACACCTCTTTGATTGGATTGGGAAAGAAAAAAAAAAAAACTATATAGAAGCAGTAGAGCTGCCAGTTTTGTGGACGAGGAAAAGTTCCTGTTCACTCTTCTGAGACATCTTGTGTTCAATTAAGGACAGCCATGGAGCCAGCCAGAACGTGGTGCCACCGCTGTCAGCAACCTGCTGCATCTGACCCAAAGAGGGGCTAGTTACCTTTTCCCCCTTTCTTCTTGAAAGACCATTTAGCCTGTCCACAGAATCCTAGATCCTCAGTCTAAACATTAATGTGTGTGGAAGAGGCTGGATTGGCATATCTTTCCTTGGACAAACTGGTATGAATTTTTAAAAAAAAAAAAAAAACTAAGAACAAAGGAAATGGTTTTTTAATTTAGTCAGTCTAATGTTAGCCTTTGACCATTGGATACATTCCACAATAAAAGGGAAGTTTAAGGGGAAGCAAAAAAAAAAAAATGCAAAACAAACCCCCCCCTTTCCCCACAACAACAACAAAATAAAGGAGGATACTGGTAATGTTTTCCACATTTGAATTTTAATACATGAAACAGGCTACAAAACTTTGGCCAGCTGCAGTAAATAAAGTAGCAGCGGGAGGTATGCACCGGAAATGTGGCAGAAAGCACTGGAAAGAGGCACATTGGGCTGCACACCTTCCTGTGTCCTGGACTGGAAGTGAGGGGCCAGGGACTCGAGACGCATCCCAGGGTGGGAGTTGTTTTGAGCAGATCTCCTCTCTCGCTCTCCTTCCTAACTCCTTCTGATTAAAGAATAGACAGCTTTGAATCCTCTTGACCTCAGTACTCTTCTGGTTCCCTCCCTCCCCGCCTCCTGAAAATCAAAACAAAATGGCTTGATAACTTGGAAGATGATGTAAGCCTTTCTTTCTGGTGCAGCTTGGATTTGTGGTGGGGAAAGCTGCGGTTCTGCCTCAGCTATTATGTTATCTCATTTAATTGCTAACATATTGTACTTAGCTTTTGATTCACAAAAATGTTTTCCTTGGAGTTCTGAAGTAGGTCTTCTGTGATTTACTAAGTATTAGTGTAATGAAAGGGTTTTTTTTTTTTTCTTTTCTTTTCTTAGCGGCATGGCTCCTAGCACCAGAGTATTGCAAATGTGGGTGCTTCTAGATGATATTATTTGCCTAGGCCTTTATCTTACTCCAAAACATTCACTGAATTTCCATTGTCTATTAGATAAAGATCAATTCCTTAGTGCAGCATTTAAGACCCATGTCCACTTACCAGAGGTCTTCCATTTAGCCATTCCAATATGCAGAAGGTTCTGCAGCGAGAACATTCGGTGCATCTTACCAGAATTTGCCCAGAACACTCTATTGAGGTACCTCTCTCCGACGTGACCTGCCCATCCACTTCTTTCTGCCTGCCTAATTCCCGCCATTTTCAAAGTTCTGACTCCCATTCTTCCTCTTCCAGGCTGTCTTCTCTTGCTGTTCCTGCCCATGATCATCATTTTCTGGTCCACTCTTAAAGGCATTATGAGTCACCCCATTTCTAGATATTTATCTTACCCAGCTCCACGTAGCTCGGCATCTTTTATAGGTATGACTTTTGCCTTACCAACTATTGTAAATTCCTTGAGCACCACGTGTCTCCTTCCCCATAAATAGACCATCCATTAAAAGGGAAGAAGAAAAACTAACATTCTCAGTGCCCAAAGAGTTCCCAGCCCCCCTGCTGGGTCCCATTTACAGTATACCAGGCCAGCTACACCGGGGCCCATTGAAGTGATCATGGTGGCCACAGGCCCGAGAGGTTTGAGCAGGTAGTCTGAAGGCAGGCAGCTGAATTTAAACTCAGGTACCTTGACTCCAAGTTCCATGCTCTTTTTCAGTACCATGAGTACTCCCCAGAGACTATATCAGCCTTTTGAGAATTAATTTTCAGGGCCAGAAGCTTGTGATTTTCAAATCTTGACCAATGTTGGGTGGCAGAAGAAGTTTGCAGGTATTTTATGGCCAAGTTCCCAGAGCAGCTGTCTCCCTCCCACCCCCTGTCCCCCACCATGGGGTACACACTCAGGGTACAACCCACGTTGTCTAAACACTTTTTCTTAAGTCAACATGCTTGTGCTAAGTGGCCAAGGGTGTGAACTCTTACATGAGTTCTTGAGTTAGTCAGTTTTAAGTCATTATTTTTCTTACATAACCACCTAGTTTTCTTATAGAATCAAAGTAGAAATCTGGAAATGTGAGAGAATAAGGAGACAGCTGGGCTTTGCTCTAACCTAGTTAGAAACTTACCAAACATAATCCCTTCTGTACCTCAGATGTCTCCATGGTTAATCCTGATATTGGATTTTTAGATTTCCTATCAATTATTGAAATGGCAATTTTCCAAATTTAATTCTCTCCACTATTCATTCGTTATTCATACCACCAGATGAGGCCTGGAAGAAGCCTTTCAAATGACCTAACCTCTTCTTTTAACTGAATAAGAACAAAGCCCGTCTCGAACAGATCCTTCGTGTGACTCTGTGTCAGTAGAGCCACCAACAGCAAGACCAGTGAGCTAAAGATCTTCTTGCATTAATATGTAAAATTTATTTGGTTTCCAGTATATTTTGTTTTAATTCTACTTATTCATTTCAGAAACATTTAGCAGCGGTTACCAGGGTAAGACCCTATGCTGAGATGTGTCCTCTGCTCTGAAGGAATTCACAGACGAGGCAGAAAGGACTAGCATATTTAAACAAATTGCTGCATACTGGTCTGCTAGACCCCACAAGAGAGCAGAACTCTCTTATCCAGGAGGAAATGTCACATGGTCACTTGATGTAGGAGTAGTGACCTCCTACAGGAAACAACCCTGATTGACCTGGGACAGAGGCGCCCAGTGGAACTACCTCTCCCCTGACAC